CTCCATTGGCTCAAACTTGATTCCTGGTGAGCTCATGAACATGTTCGTGTAATTTTTTTTTGGCAGCCACATGGAAATACTGTCGGGTTTTTTTGTTCCAGAATCGTTTTAAACTTCTTGTAGCCAAGCTGATTCCTGCTGGTTTTTCATGGAATTAAAAGATGATTCTGGATGGATATCTGCCATTGGAATAGCTGTTCACACATTTTGTATTTCACAACTCCATCAAGTCCTAAAACTTGACTGTTTTGCTTTTCTTGCCTGCTTGCATTCCTTACAGAAAAAAGCAGGTGAGCCAATGCTGATTTTCTTCTCAGTTAAAGAATTAAAAAAAAAAAAGTATGAAATTGTTTCAAGGCTAACATATGCATAAGGAAACAAATGCTTGCTGCAAAGGAACTAAATCACACATTAAAACGATAGCGGAACTGCAGATATAAAGATTCACTTCTTTGTATTCATGAACTTTTCAGCAGCGTAAAAAGATGACTTTAAAAGATGCTATCTCAGGCGCTCTTTTAAAAAATGTGTATTCAATTGGATGACAATTCTTCATTAGAATTTCAAAGTTATATATTCTGAAAGAAAGAAAAAAACCGATCTAATAAGATTGGATCAATAAGAAGAAGGTCAATGTCCTGAAAGCTGAATCTGATCTATATAAGCAAAAAATATTTAAAAATATCAAAGCCACAGTGCCAACGGCAGCTTCTAGAAATGATCGTTGCAGATTTTAAAAAAACGATCCACAGAGCCACTGGGTTTTTAATTTAAAATTCTGCCAGCTAGGTCAATCTACTGAGCAAGTGGTTTTAAACTGAATGGCTGCATTTCTTTTTCATGCCACATTTTTTTTTACGAGGTTAGATGGGCAAATAATTTATTGCTAGAGAGATTACAATCTCTGATATTCCGTTGTCTACATCCATTCCCAATGTAAAAAATACCGAAGTAGAGACAAGGATTCCAGTCTTAAAAAGAGATCAGAATTGAAGAAGTCAACTTTCCCTGGATATCTTGCATTCTTCTTTACTTATCTCCAAAGAGCAAAATAAGAACTCATTTTAGCAGTCAGCTACTAGATGAAAAAAAAAAAAACTGTCAGTTTCATTCAATTTCTCAATTATTCTATCCTATGTTTAGTTAAGGGACGTGGTGGCTCAGTGGCTAAGATGCTGAGCTTGTCGATCAAAACGTTGGCAGTTTAGCAGTTCGAATCCCAAGTGCCGCGTAATGGGGTGAGCTCCCATGACTTGTCCCAGCTCCTGCCAACCTAGCAGTTCGAAAGCACATAAAAAATGCAAGTAGAAAAATAGGGACCACCTTTGGGGGGAAGGTAACAGCATTCCGTGCGCCTTTGGTGTTTAGTCATGCCGGCCACATGACCACGGAGACGTCTTTGGACAGCGCTGGCTCTTCGGTTTTGAAACGGAGATGAGCACCGTCCCCTAGAGTCGGGAACGACTAGCACATATGTGCGAGGGGAACCTTTACCTTTACCTATGTTTAGTTAAACTTGTTTCCACAACATTTTGAGATTGTCTTTAAAAATAAAACATGAAAACCTGGGCTTCCTTCTCCTTATATACAAAATTAAATGCAATGTTGCTTAATAGACATATTTTTTAAAAAAGCATAAACTAGAAGTTTAAATGCACACATACACAAACATATAAACACATACACACAGACACACAATGTTTTCCTAAGTAACCACACACAAATGTTTCTTCACAAAAGAAACACCTCATGCACCAAAGTTAGGTAGAAAAAACTAATCATTATCCCCCAAAGAATACGAACCAATCCAAACAAATTATTTAGCCGTGCATACCAGTTGTAAACTAAAGCGCCAGACTGTTGAACAAGCTCTTTGCAGCACAATTGTGAGGTGTGCTGGGTTAAATTAAATCTATTCTGCAGACTGAACAAAGAAGGGTTGCTTGTTCTTGGAATCGATAGGGTTAGCAAATAAATTTGTAGCTAATTGGAGAGCCATTTCAGCACACAAAATTGGTCACAGTTTGCCTCTCTGTGCTCATTACGTCTTTTGCCGCTTGCGTTGCACATATCTCCGTTTTAATTGTTATGAGCACTCTGACTCGCTCAACGATCCATTGCAAGATTATGATGCAATTCTTGCTTATTACAGCACCTTGGCGTTTGCGGCATCTTAGGCGCTCCAGGTGCCAAACAAAGCAAAGCAGAACCTTGTTTCATGCTTTGTTCTCACCGTGGTAGAGAAAATCAAAGGAGGAAGAGGGTGGGGTCAAGGAAAAAAGGCTAAAATGCATCAATGCAGTTTTCTATGTTTTCAGAGCAGGCACACATTTGAAGTCTCCTTTTCAGATGTCACATATACGAATGGAGACAAAACACAAATTCCCCTTACTGAGAAAGTAGTATTTTTATCTAACTCAAGCTAAATTTTTACATCATTTGTGATTACTGTATGAAATGGAGTTTTCATATAATTTGCAAGAACATTGTTAAACCAGTTAGCCTAGTGCACCACTTTTAGTATTCCATAATTTTATTTAGCCATGGTTTGTCAGATAAATTTAGGGTGAAGAGATTTGGGCCGCAAACATCCAGATGACCTCTAGATGGCAGCACAGAGATACAGAAACACTAACTCTTTGCTGCCATCTGTTAGTTTTCTAATTTTTTAAAAACCCAGATTAGGAAGGTCTAATATAAATTTTACACTGTCAAATAATTTACTAAGACTGTACTACTATTATTCTTCTCTTCCTTCCTAGTATCTATCTCTTCCCACTTATTACTATAACCATGTTGCTTGTATCTTTCAATTTATATTGTTTTTACTTGTTTCCTAGTACGATTTGATAGTTTATTAGTAACCTTGACTATCACTAAGTGTTGTAGCTTTTTATTCTTGATGAATGTATTTTATTCTCCTTTTGTACACTGAGAGCATATGCACCAAAGACAAATTCCTTGTGTGTCCAATCACACTTGGCCAATAAAGAATTCTATTCTGTTCTATTCTATTCTATTCTATTCTATTCTATTCTATTCTATTCTATTCTATTCTAATACATTAAGTTATAAACTCTGCCTTATAAATTACAATAGCTGCATTTTTTTCCATATGAAGTCATACACGACAAATAAAATACACATAGCTAAACAATGAAGTGCATATAACTATGAGGTTCTTTAGCTGAAGTCATACATCAGTAGTACATTAAATTTTGTGGAAATCCTGCCACTGTAGTTGTAAATCATGGATTAGCATAGCCACTGAGGATCTGATAACCAATCTGATCTCTCAGGTAATCTATCCCAAATATTAGATCCTTTCTTAGCAGAAGGAAGGGATGAGGATATTTATATAAATAAATAAACAGGAACAACAAAATTTTAAATTTGGGGCAATACCTGTATTTCTTCTTGGTTATGCAAGTGCATTCTGCAAAGCTTTTATACATATTGAAAATAACCAGATTCTATGTCCCCCACCTCTAAGGAGAACAAACCATTAATTCTAAGAAGTGTTCTCTAATGCAATCTAAAATTTACACACTAAAATTCTGGCTACTACTCCTACTTCTACTACTGTGCCTTTATTATCCCCTCCAGAAATAAAAAGAACATTAACTGTGCAAAAAAAAAGGCATCCCACGCTATTCTTTCCCCCAAAGGATCAAGATAAAAATGAACTATTATGATGCACTTAGAATGGAAGAATATATCACTGCTCTTAGCTGCTGCAAATTATGGCATTGCGGATTTCTGTGGCTCTCTAGATATGTCAAGCTGAAGATCAACTCTGGGATAGTCCTGAGCAGATAGACTTATGAAAGGAAGTATTATTCATCATCATAGAATAGAATAGAATAGAATAGAATAGAATAGAATAGAATAGAATTTTTATTGGCCAAGTGGGATTGGACACACAAGGAATTTGTCTTTGGTGCATATCCTCTCGGAGTACATAAAAGATACATTCGTCAAGAATCATAAGGTACAACACTTAATGATAGTCATAGGGAAACAGTCAATATAAATCTTAAGGATACCAGCAACAAGATTACAGTCATACAGTCATAAGTGAGAGGAGATGGGTGATAGGAACAATGAGAAGATTAATAGTAATAGTAATGCAGACTTAGTGAATAGTTTGACAGTGTTGAGGGAATTATTTGTTAAGCAGAGTGATGGCATTCAGGGAAAAACTGTTCTTGTGTCTAGTTGTCTTGGTGTGCAGTACCCTATAGCCCCGTTTTGAGGGTAGGAGTTTATGTCCAGGATGCGAGGGGCCTGTAAATATTTTCACAGTCCTCTTTTTGACTGGTGCAGTGTACAGGTCCTCAATGGAAGGGAGGTTGGTAGTCATTGTTTTTTCTGCAGTTCTAATTATCCTCTGAAGTCTGAGAGTACCAGGTTGGGAGAAGCTTTCTGGTTAGCCCTTCCTCAATCCTCTTTAGGACTTTGAATAACGAATAAAAACAAATCAATTTTAATCTTGGACTCTGCTTTGCAAAACGTTGCTTCCTTTAGAACAGAGGTCTTCAAACTTGGCAGCTTTAAGACTTGGGGACTTCAACTCCCAGAATTGTTTACTCAATAAATCACATTTGGCTGAATTTAGAATAACAAGAGCTGCATTTTATATGTGCGTTTGGAAAGGGGTACTACATTTTCCTCCTAATGCAGGGGTCTTCAAACTCCAGCCAGCATAGCTGGCTGGAGAATTCTGGGAGTTGAAGTCCACAAGTCTTAAAGCTGCCAAGTTTGAACTAGAACTAGCTTCACCGGCTGATCCAGCTTGGACTTCAAAAGCCTTTGCCTATATCAGCAAGGGATTCTGGGACTTGAAGTTCACGCCGCAACAAGCCGGGACGATTTGCTCCGCCCTCAAGGTAACGCAGCTTGGGCCAGGCCTCTCCCGATTCGCCGCCGATTCCCCTTTCGACTCCGCCTCTCAGCCAATAGCGAGGCCGTGGAACGGCAAGGGGCGGAGTTGTGTTTGTGTCAATCCACGCCCAAAGAGCGAATAGGCCCGCTTAGGTAGGAGAGGCAAAGTGGTTGATGTGTAGAAGGTGAAAAATGGCGGCTGCGGATTTCGAGCCGGGCAGGTAATGAGAAATCAAAGCGTCGCCGCCCGTTTTGCGGGCACTCCTAGCTGTGGATTACGGGTTATGGAGTCCCGGCTCCTTTGGAAGGGGGCCTCGTGGGGCGAGAAAGCTGTAGAGAGTAGCAATTGGTTTATATATTACATTGTATGTATTGTTTACATTCACACACACAGACACAGACAGACACACACACACACACAGAGAGACACACACAGACACAAACACAGACACACACAGACACACACACAGACAGACACAGACAGACAGACAGACACAGACACACAGACACACACACACAGACACACAGAGACACACACACAGACACAGACAGACACACACACACACAGACACAGACACACACAGACACACACACAGACAGACACAGACAGACAGACACACACAGACAGACAGACACACACACAGAGACACACAGAGACACACACACACACACAGAGAGACACACAGACACAAACACAGACACACACAGACACACACACAGACAGACACAGAGACAGACAGACACAGACAGACAGACACACACACACAGACACACAGAGACACACACACAGACACAGACAGACACACACACACACAGACACAGACACACACAGACACACACACACACAGACACAAACAGACAGACACACAAACACACAGAGACAGACAGACAGACACAGACATACACAGACACACACACAGACAGACACACACACACAGACACAAACAGACAGACACACAAACACACACAGAGACACAACACACACAGACACAGACAGACACACACAGACACAAACACAGACACACAGACAGACACAGACAGACACACACACACAGACACAGACAGACAGACACAGACACACAGACACACACACAGACAGACCCACACACACAGACACAAACAGACAGACACACAAACACACACAGAGACACAAACACACACAGAGACAGACAGACACAGAGAGAGACACACACAGAGAGACACACACACAGAGACAGAGACACAAACACACAAGACACACAGACAGAGACACAAACACACACAGAGACACACACACAGACACACACACACACACACAGAGAGACACACACACACACAGACAAACACACACACAGAGACACACTTACACAGACAGACACACACACAGAGACAGACACACACACAGAGACACAGACAGACACACACACACACAGACAGACACACAAACACACAGACACACACACACAGACACACAGACAGACACACACAAACACAGAGAGAGACAGACAGACACAGACAGACACAAATATATTAAGATAAAGAATGAACTGTTAAAGAATAAAAGAGAATAAATATGAACCAGCAGGAAAATTAGAATTTGAGGGTGAATGAAGATGCTGCTTATATAAGTAAGCAAAGGAATATTGAGATGATTTAAAAAAAAGGGGAAAAAGAAAATTGTGGCAAAAATTGTAATTGAGTAAAATGTATTTGAATTTGATAAAGTGTAGAAGATAAGATATGGCCAATACTCTGTTGAAAAAAAAATGTGGGTGAATGTGGGTGGGGGATGAATAAAACTTGATTTAAAAAAAAAAAGAAACACGGACACACAGACAGATACACAGACACACACACACACACACACACAGAAACAGTTGGAGTTTTCTTAAACACACTTTTAAAGCTTATTTATTTATTTTCTTCCTTTGAAAAAATAGAAATATAAATTTATAATCTAATTATAATGTAGTTAATGCAATATGTAGTGTAATATATAATATAATAACATAATTTAAAGTAATTGTAATATATATGCATGTCATATAAATATTATATTAAATATAAAATATGTTCAATATTGCCCTTGATAGTACCAGGATTCTAAGAGTAAAGTTTTCAGGATTCTTTTTTTTAAAAAAGAAAGAAATTGGTTGTTTTAGAATAGAATGGAGGAGGAGGAGAGGAGAGGAGAGGAGAGAGAATTCTTTTATTGGCCAAGTGGGATTGGACACACAAGGAATTTGTCTTCGGTGCATACGCTTTCAGTGTACATAAAGAAAAAAAAATAAAATATATTCGTCAAGAATCATAAGATAACAACACTTAGTGATAGTCATAGGATACTAATAAGCAATCAAATCATACTAGGAAACAATAAAAACGATATAAATCGTAAAGATACAAGCAACATGATATAGTCATAAGTGGGAAGAGATAGGTACTAGGAAGGATGAGAAGAAGAATAGTAATACAGTCTTAGTAGTTAATTTGACAGTATTGTGGGAATTAGTTGTTTAGCAGAGTGATGGCATTCGGGGAGAAAACTGTCCTTGTGTCTTGTTGTTCGTGGGAAAAAACCTGCTGGCAAGGAAAAGAGATGAGCAAGGTACATACTTACATTCTGGTTTAGCGAGCTGACGGAGTTTGGTAATATCAGAACATGTTTTTTAAAAAATCCAGGAAGGAGAGACATTAGCAATTCAATATATACATATGGAGTACTAATGTTGTTTTTTAGGTACATGAAATTGCTCTGCACACATACACAAACATACATATATACAGAAATATACAGTACATATACAAAATATATAAATATTTTCAAAAGTGGTATTAAAAACTAATACACCATTAACAGAATAGACCAAGATCCAATGAGTTTAACAGCTTATTGCTAAGTAAATGAGATCCCCACCCCCCCACCCCACCCCCTGTAGCCTAAAGAGCTGAAATTGAGGATTTTTCATCCTTGGATAATCCCCAAAACCAATTTTTGGATAGACAATAATCCCCTTTTACTCAAGAATTCAGCTTTTGATGAAAGTTAGCACTTATTTGTAAAATGCTGATTCTGCACTGTTAGCATTATTAGGCAGTATTCACAACAGAGCACAAGGTCATTGGACTATGATAAAGCTAAGTCTCTTATTGAAGAATGCAATAACCCTAACTCAAAATTAAGTGGTACATTATTCAAGGCAGTCCATTGCTAAGATTAAACAGTATGCACAATTCTAAGTGTAAAATGCAGTACAGGATAGCGAAGTTTATTGCTAAGTGATTGAATGTATGTATTTGGATTAATTCTCCAAGAGGATTGGGGCTGTTTAAATTCAAACAGTTTTGTAAATTTATATACTGGCCTTCTAGAACTGTACCCAATTCCATAAAGTTGCTTTGGAGTGTATAAGGATGCAAACATGGCCCTTTATGCAATTCTTGAAAACAATCTGTTTTTCAGCATCTTTAACTGGCTTATTATAACTCAAGTAAGAATCTTTCCCCCCCCCTCTTCTAATGCTCTGCGGAATCCACTGTGGCAATTATTTTACATTTATTAATCTAAATGATACGGCATCCAGTAAGACCACATAAATATTTCATTATTAAACTAAGCTGTAAAACTATCAGATCCATGCTTTTTTCTCTTAAAGCAAAGGTCATACTGTTCAATATCATGTGTCTGATTCATATTGTGTTTTTTATAATAAATCTTACTTCATTGCAACAGTTTTAGTCCATGATTTCATTACCACCAATACGAGTCTTATAGTGAGAACATTTCAGTCCTGTTTCATAGCAAGTTATAGTTTTGGATTATTTTTCTTAATAAATAAATGAAAAGTGTAATGTTTTCCACTCATTTATTTAATTGGTTCTCTTTATCTAATTTTAGGATTTGTGTGGAGAACAAATCATGCTTTTGGTCATGTTTATACAGAAATATTGAAAATTGAAAAGGGTTATCCAATTTTTAAGAGCCCTTGTATGTCTCTTTGTTTGCAGTAAAGGCAATCTATTTGACAATATCATTTTTCATGTTTCTTTTTTGCAAAGATATCATTATCGTAGAATGACATTTTTGCCTGTTTTCTTTATAATGAAGATTTTGCTCTTTTTATTTATTCCAGAATGAGCATAAAAGAAAAAGCAAAGCTGCAATTAAGGAAGTTTGACATTGGAGATAAATTTTCCAACATTGAATTAGCAAAAGCCTCAGTTCTTATCCCATTAATGGTCAAAGATGGAAAGCTATGTCTTCTTTTCACTCTTAGATCAATGAAGGTATGTAAATATGAAAGCCAAAACTAATTTCACTATTAATTTGGTGAATATTTTTAGAAACATGTGAAAGGAAAGGCTAAAATAAAAGGAGAGAACACATGTATAGAAATATATTCAGTCTGGATCAGTAGAGCTAACACTGACAGCGTCTCTTTTTGAGGCAGGAATGCAATCTCTGTTTGGACTTCCTTCTATAGGTAGTCCTTGACTTTCAACCACTGTTGAGCCCCACATTTCCTTTGTTAAGCCAGTCAGTTATTAAGCGAATTCTGTCCCATTTTACGACCGTTTTTGCCACAGTTGTTAAATGAAACACTGCGGTTATTAAGTTTGTAATAAGTGAATCTAGTTTCCTCATTGACTTCGCTTGTCAGAAGGTTGGAAAAGATGATTCACATCACCCCAGGATACTGCAACTATCATAAATATGAGTTGGTTGTTAAGTGTCTGAATTTTGATCGTGTAACCATAGGGATGCTCCAATGGTCGTAAATGTGAAAAATAGTCATAGCTTACTTTTTTGAGTGCTGTTGTCATGTCAAACAGTCATTAAATGAACTGGAGTCAAGGACTACCTGTAGTTAAACCTACCTTTGTTCTCCCTAACAGTTTTCACTTCCTTTTACATCGCAATCTCTTCTGTTTTTCCCTACTAATAATCAACCCATCCAATATAGCGCTGCCTTTCTTTTCTTACAGCCATTAATTAAAAATTTGATGCAATAAATTTGAAAGTTGGACTATCTGAGGACAGGGTAATGTTTACATCTTGATTTCCCTTGGGTCTCTTTCATTTTGTCACCAGCAGCCAAAATAGCAAGAGATTTCAGCAGTAGCCCAGGTAAAGATGTTAAATGTGTTTGCTAAAACAAGTTGCTTCCTTAAATCTCCATGAGCTGGAAGAATAGCTTAATTTTCTGAAGGTTAAGAGGAAACCCACTTTTCTCTTATCTTTCTTTTTCTATAATAATTCTGGTCTGTCTTGTTAGATTTTTAAAATTTTCATTTTTATTTTATTTACAAATGCTTTGTAACCTACCTGAATCAGAGGTAGCTTGGTCTAAGTAGTTAAGGGTGTAGTTGAACAGGAGTCAAGACTGAACAAATGCAAGCAGACAGGTATATTCACACAGATACCTCTACACCTACCTGACATAGTATATAAATAATGCAATTAAATAAATACTAATTTTGTTTGGATTATTCTTTCTAATGTACCCACATCTTTCAGAAACAGTTCTGCTGAATTATCTGGGTGTAGAAAATAGGATTTTTCTCATGCTCTTTGGCTAGTGTATTTTATTGAAAATAATCTTAGAGATTTCATCTTTCAGGATGCAGGTGCTTTAAAAGTTACTTGTTGATTTCTTCTTTTCTTCTATTTTTCCCATACTTTTTTGTTTAGTTGATCATCTTAGTTTTTGGGTTGGAACATGCATATATTGTGCATGTTTAGCATTATGACATTGTTTTGCAGTGTGAAACCACTTATGCCCCACACCCAGTTGTTATCTCACAATAACTCGTTTAGGATTATTCAGTAACTCCTTTAGGATTATTGGATTATTCAAAACTGATACCATCAATTATAGGAAAAGTTATGAAAGTCTGTCTTGTTCATGTCTGTGCTTGCTAAGTTCCTATGTTGATGGTACTGATGTTGAATGAAAACGACAATGGAGACGAAGATCAAGAGATTGCAAAGAACAATTGACCTAATATTTGGATCTTTGTCGTCCCTGAGTGAGTATAATTTGAGATTGGAGATTATATTTAAAATGGAAATGAGTGCTATGAAACCCCACAGGATTTATGCATACCAATTGCTAAATGGGAGTTCAGTTTGTTGAGCCCATTGATTTCAGTGACTCTTAAGTTTGACTAGTTCTTGATCTAAGCTAGGATTTTATAAGTGCAGCTAGTCTTAAAGTGGCATTATGGATTTCCTAAGAGAGGGCAAAAGAAGAAAGGGACGACAGAGAATGAGGCGGCTGGATAGAATCATTGAAGCAGTCGGGCGGGAGCTTAAATGGACTCGGGGGGATGGTAGAGGACAGGAAGGCCTGGAGGAACATTGTCCATGGGGTTGCGATGGATCGGACACGACTTCGCGACTAACAACAACAAAAGAGAACTCCATCTTGGCATGATGTGATAGTTGGAGCCCAGTGATTACTGCATCTTGTGACTCCAAATGGATTTTTTTGTATGAAAAAAATTGTTTTCCTGACTGTCCCAAGTGTCTTCTCCAGTATTAGTGTTCAAATATGTTGGTATTCTTTTCTGTTATGCTTCTTCCAAATCCGTCTTGCACATCCATAGTGTCAGGAAAAAGCATTGCCTGAAGAATTCTAATCTTTGTTATTTTAGATGTAACATAGCATTTGCAGTATCCTTTTCAAAGCCTTCGGTGCTGCTCGCACGGCAGGCTAGGTCCTAGACTGCGATGTGTTTAATTAAACTAAAATATTTCTTGACTTTGTTGTTGATGATCGATCCTAAAAGCCATTATTATTATTATTATTATTATTATTATTATTATTATTATTCACCAATTTATAAGCAAAACATAAACTCAGAAATGCCAAACTGGGAGAACACGATTGTGCATTTAAGATTGGATGAAGAAACTTCAGCGATAATAATAATTACACATCAAACAAACCTGAGTGGCATAGGAGGCTAATGCCTCCTACGAAGGCAGCATTTAACATCCAGCTGCCTGCAATTACTGCAAGTTCAATTCTCACCAGGCTCAAGGTCGACTCAGCCTTCCATCCTTTCTAAGGTAGGTAAAATGAGGACCCGGTTTGTGGGGGCAATAAACTGACTTTGTATAAAATATACAAAAGTATGAAGGCTATTGCTTAACGCAGTGTAAGCCGCCCTGAGTCTCCGGAGAAGGGCGGCATATAAAAATAAAAAAAATAAAAAACAATAACATGTGCTTATCCCAGGTCCTTGAAAAAGACTTGATAGGTGAATCAAAATGGCAAATCTAGTCGAAACATCTGAGGGACTTATGCAACCAACAATGTTAATGTTCTAATTCCAGTTGAGAACATCTCCAGGAGAAGTTTGTTTTCCAGGAGGTAGAAGTGACCCAACAGACACAGATGAAATTGCCACGGCTCTTCGAGAAGCTAAAGAAGAAGTGGGACTTCTTCCTGAACAGGTTGAAGTCATCTGTAGACTTGTTCCTGGAATAGATAAAGTAGGTACTGTTTGTCTGAAATATTTCAAAGAAGCTGTAAGTTGTTTTGAATGGGCCTTAAAAAGGGATACAACAAATTCACAGAGGATAAGACTGTCGGCAGTCACTAATTAAAATGACAATAGACTTAATCCGGTGGGATGCAGTGGCTCAGTGGCTAAGATGCTGAGCTTGTCGATCGAAAGGTCGGCAGTTCAGCGGTTCAAATCCCTAGAGCCGGGTAACAGGGTGAGCTCCTGTTACTTGTCTCAGCTTCTGCCAACCTAGCAATACGAAAGCACCTAAAAATGCAAGTAGAAAAATAGGGACCACCTTTGGTGGGAAGGTAACAGCGTTCTGTGCACCTTTGGCATTTAGTCATGCCGGCCACATGACCACATGACCACAGACATCATAGCACGGCGTCCTTTTTCCTCTGCTAACCAGAAGTCCGGTTCCCCCACATAGAGTCTCCTATTAGCATGTTTCCTTTTTCCTCTGCCGACTGGAAGTCGGTTCCCCCACTATAGAGTCGTCTCCTAGCGTGGTATCCTTTTTCTTCTACCTGTCCTAACTGAAGGCCCTATCAGTTGTGGAGCCGACTGGCAACAGGGAGCCGCAGCAGAGGGATGAAAGAGCCACATGCGGCTCCAGAGCCACTGGTGGCTGACCCCTGAGATAGTCTCTCCACATTACAGTTACAGGTTGTAAAAGTCGTAAAGAATTCATCATGCGGCCCACCCGATTTAACTTTTTCTTGTGGCAGTTGTTAAGCGAGTCACCAGGATTGCTAAATGAATCACGAGTCGTTAAGCAATACGGGGTATTTTGCTGAACATTGGAAGCAGATGCCTGTTAAAACATCATGAATTGGAGTCACATGACCACAGGACACTGCAAATGGCCATAAATGCAGGCCATTTGCTGAGCGCCCGAAATGCAGCCACATGGCTGGGAGGGCAGCCATTGGAGCTTTGGAATCAGATCAGTAGTACCGTATTTTTCGGACTATAAGACGCACCGGAGTATAAGACGCACCTTAGTTTTTGGGGAGGAATATAAGAAAAAAGCTGATTGGCAGGTGGATCGGCCTCCCGGAATACCCCCAATCAGCTGTTCCCAGAGGTGAATTTTAGCAACAGGTTCATTGGTTGTGAACTCTGTGCCTTGCTTTTTTTTTCTGCCTCTGAAACTTCTGAAACTCTGTTTCAGAAAAAACTTTTTTTTCTGCCTCTGAAAGCTCCAAAACAGAGCTTCAGGGGGAAAAAAGGCTTTTTTTCTGAAGCTTCTTTCAGAGGCTTTTATTTTGAAGGACTATCTGTACTCTGTTCAATCTCCTTTCATTGGTATTGGTATATAGATTAGCCTCTTCCGATCTGTCGGTTATTGTGTCATTCTCCAGATTTGTTAGCATAACTATGCTAACAAACTTTAGTTAGAACTTTTACTGATTCTTCTTTTGTTGCTTGCCATATTATTTTAAATAAAAGCCTTTCAGAGGCTTTTTTTTTCTGAACCTTCTTTCAGAGGCTTTTTTCAGCCTCTGAAACCTCCGTTTGAGAAGGTAGGCGGGGCTATATTCGGAGTATAAGACACACCCAGATTTTCACCCTCTTTTTTGGGGGGAAAAGGTGCATCTTATACTCCGAAAAATACGGTACATTTTGGGGGAGAGGGGGGTTCCGTCTTAATTTGAACATTTGCTAAGTGACCAGTTGTAAGTGGAGGACTATCTGTATTTTAATTGTGATGCTATCTTTTACTGACTTCTTTATAAACCATTCTGGACTGCTCCAAGAAGAAGAACAACATAAATAAGGGATGTGCAAAATTCATTGACCTGGGAACTCTGGAATGCTCGGTTGACCTCTATCCAGTGCCATTCCAAGTATGGGTTACAGTAGTTTTCAGGAATAAATCTTCCATGATGGAAGCTTGTTTCACACCTCAAACCAAGAGTTATGAAGTTTACACATCCTTCATATTGTTTAGGTAGTACAGGGCTTGTCCCCAGGTGTCTTCAAAAACATTGAGATTCCATTCAGTTTTAAAAGTGAAGACTATTATTTTTCATGGTCTCTTGTTCACATTCAGTAAGACTCTGGAGACCCCCCCCCTCAAATTTATTTTGTAATATGTTTAAAGCGAAGTGGAAGAGTAGTTGGTTAGAAACATTAAAGTTTTAACTATAACTTTTCTTCCTTTTAGACTTCTTCTGTCGTAACTCCAGTTGTAGCCTTCATAGAAGACACTTTTCAAGCCCAACCAAATCCAGAGGAAGTCAGCCACGTGTTCTCAGTACCGCTGGAATATTTTATACGCCCTGCGAAACACAGCGCTGTACCTATGAAAAGAAAGGGACAGTCTTCATATTTCATGCATTTCTTTGACTATGATGACCCAGAGCATCAGATGTCATTTACAGTGTGGGGACTCACTGCCCATTTTGCAGCCTTTGTTGCTCTTGCAATTTACGGGGAGAAACCGACGTTTGAAGTTGAATTTGACCTGGATAATTTGAATTCTTCAGCTGAGAAAAACTTTATGACGCGCTACCATGGCGTAAAAAGCAAACTTTGACAGGTAACATTGTAATATTTTTTTTTTCAAATGTAATTGAAACTCTTGAAACTATGATCCATGTCTTGGCTGAAATAATTTGGTTAATTTATATTTATAAATCACGTTGGAAGCGTATAATTGCAGGAATCTGTTTTTGCCACATTCGACTGTGATAGGGTGGTGTTTAATTAAATTTTTAAAATATAATGATCATTTTGGGCCACAGTCTCTTAATGCTTGGCATTTTATCCTTTTCCTTTAACTCAAAATGCCAATAGAGATAATACAGGGGGACTGCTTGCGCTACCAGTGCAAATTTTTTTTGCACGTTTTATACAAATAAAATTCATTTTTACTAGATTTAAAAAAATATTCTCCAGTGTCTATATACCTACTGGGCTCTTTAATAGGTCGCTATAGGACAGTGGTGAAATCCAAATTTTTTTACTACCGGTTCTGTGGGCGTGGGTTGGTGGGCGTGGCTGGGGAAGGCTACTGCAAAATCTCCATTCCCATCTCACTCCAGGGGACGGATACTGCAAAATCCCCATTCCCTCCCCACTCCTGGGGGAAGGATATTGCAAAATCTCCATTCCCACCCCACTCTGGGGCCAGCCAGAGGTGGTATTTGCTGGTTCTCCGAACTGCTCAAAATTTCGCTACCGGTTCTCCAGAACCTGTCAGAACCTGCTGGATTTCACCCCTGCTATAGGGTAAAAAGATAAGTTATTTTTGAGAAACAGAACTGTCATATGCACAATACGAGTTGCACTTCAGGCGGAAGCCTCTTGGTGGAGTTTAACTACTCACTACTACAGCATCTGCCCTTTTAAAACCGTTCAATTTTGTTTTGTAAATGTTGTCATTACTGCTACTCTTCGATGTACATTTCTTGAAATTGAGAAAAAAAAACATTGAAATGCTTTCTAATGATGTTACCTCCTACTGCATGGGTAAGAGAAAAACAAAAAAAAAACTTCACTATTTCTCTAGGGATTTGACTTGGTCAGTGATGCTGCAGAATTAATCCTTCACTTGGATCACACATTTTAGGTATGTATGACCTTGCATTAGGCACCCTTTCTCTCAAAGCATTGCAGTCGTAATTGTGCTCTATTTTTCATATTGAGATGGGAATCATAACTGAAGGATGTGATATGTTCCTCACAAGAGACGCTACTGCAGAACCCACATTTCTGCAAATTAAGTCCAGAAGCAGTTGCTTCTTGGTTATTCCTCTGATATTACAGAACTGCCACTTTGAAAAAAAACGTTCATGGGATGGGATGGGATGGGATAGAATAACAAGAGTTGGACGGGACCTTGGAGGTCTTCTAGTCCCACCCCCTGCCCAGGCAGGAAACCCTACACCACTTCAGACAAATGGTTATCCAACATCTTCTTAAAAATTTCCAGTGTTGGGGCATTCACAACTTCTGCAGGCAAGTTCCACTTATTAATTGTTCTAACTGTCAGGAAGCAATAAGTAGTTTGGCTACTTACGGTATATGGATTTTATTTGGATATCTCTTAGCATGAGACTGTTGCCTTCTCTTGCGTTTTTCTGCTAGATCTTTTTTTAATCTAGAAGTTTAGCTTCTTTTCCTTCATCTAAAACTTTATCCCCATTCAAGGTTGAAAAGCAGTGCTCCTGATATTTTAGGACTGCCACTTGAATGGTGGTGAAGTTTTGAAATTTTGGGGTTCTTTTGTAGCCTTGTTTGTTCACCAAATAAATTCTAAGCACCTTCCTTTCTAGTTTTCTTAAGGCTGGGGCCAGGGATGAAATCCAGCAGGTTCTGACAGATTCTGGAGAACCGGTAGCAGAAATTTTGAGTAGTTTGGAGAACCAGCAAATACCACCTCTGGCTGGCCCCAGAGTGGGGTGGGAATGGGGATTTTGCAGTCTCCTTCCCCTGCCACGCCCACAGAACCAGTAGTAAAAAATTGGATTTCACCACTGGCTGGGGCTAAGGGAGAATTTTGTGGCAGGTTAGACTAAGTTCAGCCTACCTAAGTAGTAGCCTATATTAAGCATAGTTTATAGAGTTTATAACGTAACAGAGTGAGCTCCCGTTATTTATCCCAGCTTCTGCCAACCTAGCAGTTCGAAAGCATGTAAAAAATGCAAGTAGAAAAATAGGGACCACTTTGGTGGGAAGGTAACAGCGTTCCGTGCGCCTTTGGTTTGAGTCATGCCAGCCACATGACCACGGAGACATCTTTGGACAGTGCTGGTTCTTCGGCTTTGAAACGGAGATGAGCACTGCCCCCTAGAGTCAGGAATGACTAGCACATATGTGCGAGGGGAACCTTTACCTTTATAGACTTACCCTTGTCAGGAAGAGTCTGCCAGTAAGGTTTAAACTATTTCTGCTATAAAACCACAATTTATCCTAACATTCTGATAACTTCACCGGCACCTAAGAGATGGACAGGTTCTCAAGTCCAACCTTTTTTTGCAAGAATACTGTGGCAAATGTACATCAGCCTCCTTCATTCCACCTGTACACTTTCTCCATCCTATTTTTTCCAACTACAGGTACGCCAAGAGGCTAAAAAAACGAAGCAGGGGGGAAAAAAACACCTTCCAGGACTTGAGAAAATATGTGAGGGAAAGGAGAGTGTTTTTGTTTGAAAACTGAATTGTAAAAAAGAAGAAAAACATACCCAGGGTTATTTTGGGGGCTGGAGGGAATGAGGAAAGGTTCATATAAGAACCTGCAGACGGAGTAGGATTTAGCTGTTGTAATTAATTCTCTTGTCTACCAAAGGTGTTGCCATAGTAATTTGGTTTGGCTGAGGAATTAAAACGTAAAAACCTCTATCCATGGAGCAAGTCACATTGTTTGGAAAGGTTTGGTTTGGCTTTTTCTTTTCCTGGAAGAGGAGGAAAAAAATCAGCACCAGGGACTGTATTGTTCTCATTTTGTGAGAAATAACAGGAACATTTTGGCATTTAAAAAAAAAAATCAGGTTTTTAAGTTAGGAAAGATGCATCACTTTTTGACCTCGGGTGTTTCATAAATCCGATAGCCGCATTCAAATATGCACTTCTTGAGTTTCTTCCAGGTTCCCTGATTTAAAGTCTGAATTGACAAGTGTTTCTATTCCCACCGTGGCGAGCAGCGGAGTTGATTCTTTCTTCTCCAACTCTCTTAAGGGCATGGTCTGGGGGCTAGTAAATCTGGGCTGCAGAATTCTCTTTCTTGCCAACCAGCAATCTTCTTGGTCAGTACAGCCCACGCTTCGTAGCTGGAAGCAAAGTCAAAAAATCAATATTGGGGAGAGAAAAAAAACCTTTGAAGAATAAAAATGGAGCTATGCAAAGGGACTCAGTGGTTCAGTGGCTAAGACGCTGAGCTTGTCGATCAAAAGGTCAGCAGTTCAGCGGTTTGAATCCCCAGTGCCGCATAATGGGGTGAGCTCCCATTACTTGTCCCAGCTTCTGCCAACCTAGCAGTTCGAAAGCACGTAAAAAATGGAAGTAGAAAAAATAGGGACCATCTTTGGTGAGAAGCTAACAGTGTTCCGTGCGCCTTTGGCGTTTAGTCATGCCGGCCACAGGACCACAAGAGACGTCTTCGGACAGCGCTGGCTCTTCGGCTTTGAAATGGAGATGAGCACCGCCCCCTAAAGCCGGGAAGAACTAGCATATATGTGCGAGGGGAGCCTTTACCTTTACCCTTATGAAAAAGCACGTAGCATGTTGAAGGAACCATAAGGTGTACAGTAGTACTATATGAAAATAATTTTAAAAAGAAGCATAATTGTCCAATGAGTGCGCTTCAGAGCATGAACTGTTGACTATCACCTAGGAAAGAAATGGATCGTTATATCAGAATTGTAAATCCAACTGGTTTACGGAATGCTGTCCTGCTAAGGCTAAAGGTGACCTCCCAAAGCCTTAGATACAAACTTCAGACATCTGAGCTACCGTACCTTCTTTGTTCAACCATGTTTAAAAAACAGCACATTGTGATTTCTAATCCTGCAAAACCGTCGAGACTTTAGATTAACGGAAATATATTCTCTAATCTAGTCTATTATTTTTTTAAAATTTGCAACATTTATTGAAACAATCCTGGTCTTAACCACGCCGGATTGCACACAGCCACTCAAACCAAACCAAACCAAACACACATATATATAATAAAATTCATAGTCAATTAGAGGTGCAAGAAAAAATGTACATGGAAGAGGCGATCTCCGTGCCTTAATCATCTGGAGCCAAAACCCAATTGAAAAAGGATGGTTCTTTATAAATTCAAGAACGGAAGATGCCTTCTGAGACTCCACATGTAATATATCTCTCTCTATATAAAATCGAAATACCACTCACGCGTTATCACGAAATCTCCAGAACGGTACAGCCTATCAATTTTAAATTTGGCACGTATGTTCCTCTTGGCTTCTAGGTGCTCGCTAAGAAAGGATTTTTTGAAATGACCATCAGATCATTAGAATTTCTTAATATTATTATTACTAACAAGCTCTGATGCTAAGGAGTTAGACTGAGGAAAAGAAGGGGATAAGATAGGAGAGACCTCTGTGGGCCAAACCTGAGGGAGAGAAGGGGATAGGAGAGGATCAATGGGGCAAGCCCTGAGGGAGAGAAGGGGGTAGCGTAAGAGAGACTTCTGTGAAGCCAGCCTGAGGGAGAGAAGGGGGATAGGATAGGGGAGGCTTCTGTGGGGCAAACCTGAGGGAGAGAAGGGGATAGGAGAGGATCAATGGGGCAAGCCTGAGGGAGAGAAGGGGGTAGCGTAAGAGAGACTTCTGTGAAGCCAGCCTGAGGGAGAAGAGGGGGATAGGATAGGGGAGGCTTCTGTGGGGCAAACCTGAGGGAGAGAAGGGGATAGGAGAGGATCAATGGGGCAAGCCTGAGGGAGAGAAGGGGGTAGCGTAAGAGAGACTTCTGTGAAGCCAGCTGAGGGAGAGAAGGGGGATAGGATAGGGGAGGCTTCTGTGGGGCAAGGCTGAGGGAGAGGAGAGGAGAGGAGAGGAGAGGATCCATGGGGCCAGCCTGAGGGAGAGAAGGAGGAGAGGAGAGGATCAATAGGGAAAGCTTGAGGGAGAGGCTTCTGTGGAGCCAGCCTGAGGGAGAGAAGGCGGATAGGATAGGGGAGGCTTCTGTGGGGCAAGGCTGAGGGAGAGAAGGGGAGAGGAGAGGCCGATCGTAACTACTCATTAATTTTCAAGCTGTAAGTGTCGATTTATCAAGCCCAATCACATAGTTTCGTAGCGGAGCATTGGTATCCAGCTAGTTCCATGATATAAAGGCAACCAAGAGAATGCCTAGGTCACAAAACTAGCTGGGAAATTATAAACAGCAATGAAATGGTGCCTCTTAATCACCGATTTAGAAATACATGCTTGTGGGTTGAAATTTTGCCACCGTCTCTTTGGAATGTAGGCTATCTCTTTCCTTGCCGTTTCTAATTGTTATACAGTTTCTGATATGTAAAAATAGAAGACGTGTCCTGCTGGGCAGATCAAATATCCACCTGTCTAATCCAGCATCCTGTTTTTCACAGCTGGCAGATGCAGATGTTTCCAGGAAGGCCACAAGGGGAGCCTGATGAAGGCATTCATTGAACCTTGAATTTGTTCCCCCTCAACCAACTTTCAGTGGCTTCCTAATTCGGAAGATAAAACTATTGTGGCTAAGAGACGTTGGGTTATTTTTGTTTTGTTTCTGTCTAATAAAAATAATGTGGGTAAAAAAAAATGTAAGGAAACAAAAACGATGTACAAGTGTAGAACTGTTGGATAGATCTAGATCTATCTATAGAAACTACTGATAGATAGATAGATAGATAGATAGATAGATAGATAGATAGATAGATAGATAGATCGATCAGATAGAATCTACTGTTCTAGGCCTCTGACATACTTTTCTGTGGGTGCTTCATCATTGCAGGTTTTCAAGAAGAGACTAGGTAGCCATTTGTCCAGAATAGTACAGGGCAAGGAAGTCTCTTTCAGCCTTAGTGTTTTATGTTCTTCTCCCCCATGGCATTCTGGAGGTTTTAGAATAGAATAACAGACTTTGAAGGGATCTCGGAGGTCTTCTAGTCAAACCCCCTGCTTAGGCAGGAAACCCTACACCACTTCAGACAAATGGTTATCCAACATCTTCTTAAAAACTTCCAGTGTTGGAGCATCCACAACTTCTGGAGGCAAGTTGTTCCACCGGATTAATTGTTCTAACTGTCAGGAAATTTCTCCTTAGTTCTAAATTGCTTCTTTGGATTTTTCTGGAAGTCAAATCTTTTGATCTGGTGTTCTGAAAGAAAAAAGGGGACTATTTTAGGACTGGACCAAGATTACAAGAGTATATCCCACCCTTCTTCCAAAACATGAACATTTGCAAAGGCAAACCCTAGTAATTTCCCATAATATCCTGGAGTAGCAGCATGTTGGGATTTTAAAATGACAGAATGGCAGTTTAAACTGCCAAGTTCTCTCAACGTCAATTCTGCACTGTTAATTTTAAGGCACATTATTTGCTTAATATATATTTTAGTTGTTTAATACATTTTATTTGCTTGAGTTGGTAAAGAACGTATCTTCTGCTGTGAATAGTTATAGACTCTTTTTTTCTGTGCTGTGAATTATTTACACTTTGCTGCTTTTAATTTTTTTTTTTCCTGTTGCAGTCTATTTGACCCTCCCTCCCCTTTTCTTGGCCTGCTATGTTATAAATGAAATCATGTTCCAGTGACCTTCATTGCATGTTGCTATGGAGCTGGGTTATGTTTTGAATAAAAATTTAAAAATAGAATATGTAATTTAATCATAATATTTTCTATTTATTCAACTTTTATGATTATTATTCAGGAAGTGACTCTGGGTCTCTATACAGAGAGTTGAAAGCCACACAATGCAAGTCAGAAAATGATGATGATGATGATGTTGAAAATCAGCTGTAAAATATGTAAATTATCCATTAGTAAAGCATTGTATTGTCTGCAGATATGGGTCTGAAATTATATAGAACATGTTAATTCTCTTGCACACAAAAAAGGTTTTCACTGTCAACTTGCTAGTAACATTCTCTCCATTACCTCATAAAATTATTCACATTCTTTTTTTTAGGAACCAGGGAATTCAGAATTAATTAGTACAGAATTTCCCTTGTTTGCTTATTCCAGTAAGCCATGTTTTAACTAAGATTGAGATCACTATCCTGATTCATTGATAGCATTAAGCTACATTGGCAAAGTGCATGAATACCAAAAACGAATAATGCATAGAATACTATAGAAACAATGAATGGCTAGATTTACTTACATACCACTCCATGCGAGTAGGTTTTGAATCACGGTTTGTAAAACAAACCTTAGTAGCCAAGTCAGCACATACGGCTAAACACTATATACCTAATCAACTCAACATTCTTACAGCATTCAATTAAATGAAAACGCTGGACTGATGCTTCTTCCTAGTGTTTGGAGACAGTAGTACAGGCTGTTATTTGTTTCATGCTCATCTTATGCTAACCTTTTGGACTCCGGTAGAAGAATATGTGCAGGACTCCAGTCTCGTGGACTCAGTAGTATTTCCTTCATGATGTTGTCATGACAACTACATCTCTTAAACCATCGCAATGTACAGCATGCTCTTTTAGCAAGCAAGGAAAACACAGGCATTAGGTGCCCACCAATCTATAATACCGGGGAAGAACGCATGTGGTGGATTTGATTACTATTTTAGTGTTTTCCACAATGACTCTGAACTTGGTATGGAGGTACTTAAAGACTGACTACAGTCAAACTACATTTTTAAGCAAATTTACTTAAAATACGGGAGACTTTTATTCCCATATGCAACAGAGACTTCCCAAATTGGCTGCAAGAAGGGGAAATATTTTGTGATTATTATAAATATTCCTGGGAGGGGGAAGGCTTTTTTGGGAAGCCATAGCGTCTAACTTATGGCATAACTGAAAATTTATTCTGTGCCATGTGTCGGATGAGTGTTGGGGAATGAATGGAGCCTGGACAACAGAGTAGTGAATGAGATCAAAGCATAATTCGTGATTTTTCAAAGCGTTGCTAACCACATTTTTTTCCCCCTCAAAAACACCATCCGCTTAAATTTTATCGCATGTGGAAATTGTTACAGAAGCTCTATCTTCTTTCTATGTGCTGAATTAATTATTGGAGAAGCCTGGAAGACTCCCAGATTTTTATTTTTGCATTTCAGAACATTCGGATAGACTTTTATCTTTAGGAAATACATATGCATACAAATGGATATGCATTATCAGTAGCCAAACTTCAGTTGAGCATGTAGTCCAGGAACTGAGCTTTGAGGCTTTCTCGTCTGTAATGCAAATTTGCACGCATTAATGTTACAGAACTAGGCAGCATCCATTTCCATGCTACAATTGGCAAAGTTTACTATAGATTGTTGAGATATGTGGAATCTCTGTTGTGGAGAGAAAAAGAGCAACTGGGAAATGCTGATACTGGAAGCAGACATGCAAGAAATAGCTATTTTGCTGTATAAGCTAAAGGAAGAAAGTTCAAGGAATTGGACAGCAGGAGTCCTAAAATTAATTACATATTGCTTCCTGTTCCAACACTTTCTATTTAATGGGACTGGACAGATACCTCTGCTGTCTTGACACTTTGCAATGGATCTTAAACGTATTATGCATTTAAGGAGTTTCATCCTATCTTCTGACTGTTAATTGCTATTGGACATGTAGAACACATTGACTAAATAAATAAATGCTCCTTGTGTGTGTCCCGTTTCTCTTCTAGAACTGAGGTATGGGTTTGTTCATGGAATCCTGCTTTCTTAAATACAGTGAATGACTCTATTTCATTCCAGCGATAAAATAACAGTCAGATACTCGACATGATGGACCTTATGCTACATTGAACTGAGTGTAGCACTGTCTTGTCCTTAATAGAAAAAATGGCTATGCTTATATTGTGCCTTAAGCGATAATGTCAACCCAGTCACTGTTTTTTTAAAACCATGATTTAGGGCTCGATGTAATAGGTTGAAACTAGCTTTACCTTATATCCCACTTAACAATAAAACATAAGAAGATATGTTGATTTTGGGAATGTTCTCCCAACATGACATATATGTTTCAAGTTCTTCTTATCTAAGCTTATAAGAAATGGCCTAGAGGATATTGGTAATCTTAGACCTAAGTTTGAAAGGACACAACTCATCACCAACTTTAACCAGAAACAGAAGATGTCAGAGTGTTTACAGTGTGACTACTATTTTGAGACAACCCAGGAGCAGAATACAGGACACAGTGGTTTGTCATTACAAACAGTGGTTTATATACAAGACTTCTATATACAGACATACACATGGTAGGCACATACCAGGCAAGCAAGCAATCTTCAACTCTACACAGAGAGCTACAATGCAGATAAAACACAATGAGGGGAGAGAAATACGCCCTCTCATGACCTCCCTTATATAGACAGCTTCTTAAAGTGGCAGTAACCCTGCTGACTCATCCTCAGTTCATCATCTTGATTTACAGCCTTACAACGGCTGGTCAGCTTTAAATCTTCATTACCCTGACAGAAGAACCCAAAGTGGGGAACTCAAATTATGAGTTTGAGGCAAGGGTGACCTTTTTTAAAAAAATAAAAAATGGTACCCTTCTTTCAATATTCTTAAGATGCTATTTTGATTATTCATCCAGTAGTGAAAGTCTCTTGACATTCTGATGGGCCAAACAGCATGGACTGGTTTGACTTCTTTTCTTCAAATGCTGCCACAGCTCTTGGAAAATGCTCACCATTTCTTTTAGCCCTTTTTCATTCTCTGGCTTCCTCCTGCCAATTCAAATGAACGTTTGCGGGGATTTGGACTTGGCTTTGTGACAAGTGCACCGTTAAAAGATAAAACACTGTGTTTCAGAGGTCCCCTTCAGAATTCAGCAGTGGGAGCCCAGTCATCCGTTATTCGGTCTGAAACTTGCTCAGTTTTCCCTAATCTATTTTGATAGCTGTGCTTGAAGACTCCTGGTGATGTTTAAAGGATTCTGTTGAAAGCCAAACTACATGCAATTGGGAATTCATCCAGCAATTTCATTGAATCCAGGCAGTGCAAACAATTCTAAATTCAAGCCATAAATTGAAATAATTGGTGGATATTCAATAAATATTGAAGAAGCAAATTCATTCCAGCTTGTGCCTTTTTCCCCCCCTCATGGAACATTGAAAACCTATTTGAAACACATTTATTTATATCCCAGTGGGCATAACCAGTTAGGATATTACAATCTCCAAGTGTAATTTTATTAAACTAAAGGTGCCCGTTGAAGAATTCTCTGAGCTTTTTTTAGTAACTTCATATGTAATAAAATGCAGCAGTACGGTTTGATTGGGGCTGAAGCAAGAATTTGGCTCTTAATAGTCAACTACCAGCTTAAATTCTTTCCAGTAGGTTTAGCACCTATCAATTATCAATTCAATCAATGTAGAAATGCAAAATTTTAACAGAATTTGCAATTCATTTGTTCATTCATTCATTTGATATACTGTGTATTATCGCATCTCACTTACGTGACTCTGAAGGGCTTATAAAGATTAAAAAACACAAAATCAATACAGAAATAACCCCAAAGCATAAACACAAAACATTAAAAACAATAAAAACCATTAAAACATACAGATGTAATCAGCAGGAGCGTGTATGGCAAATTATCTCTGGGTTTAAAAATGGTAGGCAAAGAATGTTTTATTTGAAACTGTCAAGTAGAATTGTTTGAATTCAATGTCACTTATCCTGGTGAATTTTTTATTCTTTCCCAGCTGAATATGCTCCATAGGACTTTAAGTCTGGACTTGTATATTTGGTAAAGTATAATTTGAGATTTAATATTACTTTATTGTACTGTTTCCCCAATATATTTGTGCCACCTATATTTCCCTGTTATGGACTAGTAGAACTGACCCATTATTTTTCTCTTTTATTTTGGCAGTTACATGTTCAAAATGTTCCCCTGAGCATGGCCAAATTTTGTACTATTTCTTGGAGAAACTGCCAAACAATCCTTTCAGATTTGGCCCAATTATGATCTAACTGGGGCCCAAATATTATTTAGCTTATGCCAATATGCTCATGATATTTCTTCTTTATTACTTGTTATCTGTTTCTTTATATCCTAGCTTTATTAGTTTTACAAATAACTCAGGGATGTTGAAGATATCCAGCACACCTTCCTCCTCCTATCTTATCTACAACAATAAATCTGTTAGGTGGGTTAGGCTGAGAGTTGGTGACCGGCCCAAAGAGACTGGCCCCACGTTTATGCCTAAGGACGGACTAGAACTCACTAACTCCGGTGTTTGAGCCAAACTTTTTCACCCAGCAGATTTTGTTATATATGACGGGACTAGAACTCAGTCTCCTGTTGATTTGCCCAAATTCATCTAGCTGGCTTTCATGGATACAGTGGAACTAGAACTCACTGTCTCCTGGTTTGTAGACTGGTGCCTTCTCCACTAATCTGGTCCTTTTTTCTTTTATTCATCCTGGTCTGTTTTAATTTATCCTGGGCACAGAGCAGTGGTGAAATCCACATTTTTTTACTACCGGTTCTGTGGGTGTGGCTTGTTGGGCGTGGCAGGGGAAGGATACTGCAAAATCTCCATTCCCACCCCACTCCAAGGGAAGGATATTGCAAAAGCTCCATTCCCACCCCACTCCGGGGCCAGGCAGAGGTGGTATTTGTCAGTTCTCCGAACTGCTCAAAATTTCCACTACCGGTTCTCCAGAAGCTGTCAGAACCTGCTGGATTTCACCCCTGGTGCAGAGATGTTTCGAGCAAACCACAATTTTGTCAGAGTGATAAAACCTGCAGTATGATACCATGATACAAAGTCTACTCACTACATATTTGTGTGCAACATTGTGATGGATACTTTGCATTACAATGTTGCAATGAAATGTTCATTATTTATCCCATATAGATACAACATAGAAGCCCATGACTGCACAAAAACTATAATAAAGTGTGTATGTGGGTTTGTGTTAGTATATTCAGATTTGCACATATATCTATTTATTTGGCATTATATTTATTTGGCATTATAATATATTATATTATTTAGCATATATTTTCCATACATAATATCCATAGTCACAGTCTTCCCGTAATTCAGCCTTCCTTCAGAGCTGACATACTCCATTAAAACCCTGAAATGCAACGTAAGTGATAATGACACAAAACCACGTTACATTAAATTCTACATGGTTTTCTTTTTTTTTTTTCAACTGCAAAAAGAGAGAAAACTGTAATGACATTAGACGATTAAAGACGACCGACGGAAGGAAGCATGCTAATGAAGCACCCAACATGAAGAACAAAGCAAGTTCAAGTAATTGCTTTGAAGCATGCCTGTTTCACTAATAGGCTGAATCCATTACGAGCAAAATTCTATCCTGATATAGAAAACTAAAAATAATATCTAGTCTCTGGGCTTTATATAAGCCATTCCAATCCGTTTTCTCATGCCCAGGAGCACATTCTTTTAATGGGCACTAGCAATTGAGTCCTTTGGATATTGAATTCCTTCTCTTCTGTAGGATTAATGGGTTTGCACTTCACCAATAATATAGAGAGAGATATGCACACACGTGTACACACACACACACACACACACACACACAAAACACAAAGCTCTGTTTAAGTAATGCCAGCATGACTTTCAGAGATGGAATTGATCTGTAATATCAAGTGAGAGTTTAAATTACCCAGACACTAAATTTATATACGCACAGAAGAATAAAATAATTTACCCCCCAATAAACTTGCCATATTTTCTGCATGAGTGTTAAGAATCGCAACAAGTGGACTATGTCTTAGTATGTTTTAGGAATACTAAACAAGGCAAAACACAAGTGACAGAATCCAAGGAATAAAACCATATATTTCTCAAGGGAAGTTGCACCAGAAACTCCGGTTGATAAAATTTTGGTTTAGAGTCAATTGCTTCCAGCTATTCAGTGAACAGAAATGTTTCTCTTATGTTTATTATCTTCATATCTTTTACAAGCAACCTTACAATCTCCCTAGAATCTTAAGTCAATATAATACCGGGGGGGGGGGGGACCCTGGATAATGCCAGAATTAGAGTGAAGAATTCAATGAGTGAAACCTCCAAGAAGTATGTCACTTTGTCCCTGTTATATTACACTCCCAGTAAGACAAATGATACGATCCTCATTTTTATTGTTGTGTTGTACTATTTATTGCTCACTGAGCATTGGTCTTGTTCTGACCTAGGCTTCCTTAGAAAGTATAAAGCACAATCTTCGTCCTGGCAAAACCTCTTTTATTTACACGGCTGTGAATTACTGTCATTCACAGTCCGCAAGGCTTCACAAACAGTCTTTCAGGGGAATGTTTATAAACACCCACTGTATCTCCCTTGGAATGCTGCCAGAGAACTACTTGCCACAGGCAGGGCAAGGCCAAACTGGGCTCAGAGTGAAACAGAACTTTTCAAAGCTTGAACCGACCAGATGAACTAATTGCTTCCTGCAAAAGCTCATGTCCTGTTCGCTCCTCTTTTATGTCTTATGGGAGGGGCCAATCATCTCCAAGCCTTACTCCCAAGTTGATCCTGTTTTCTTAATTGTTCTTGTCTTCTGGCAGCTCTATGCATGCGCACACTGGGAACAGGCTCCCGCTGTTCTTCTGCCTCACTGATGTCAGACTCCAGAGGCTCCGGAGACTCCAGAGGCAGCACATAACT